CCACTGCAAAATGCGACATTGGAAAGTTGAGCAAAGAAAAGAACAACAAACGACGTTTTATACGTGAACAGGAACACAATCTAGTGTTCGATTCGGTTCTAGCCATTGTCCTCTCCGAATGAATAGTGAGGGAGGCCCTTCCAAACCGCCAACAATAGATTCACGGATACAATTACCCAGACATAGGCTATGAATAATAAACCATGGCGAGCTCAATGAGTGCACTACAAGACCCCAAGAAAAGTTTGAAATTTGGCCATTTACTGAGTAAATTTGGGACCTTATTAAATGAGTATGAAAGCATATTCTATGTTCAACATTATCTATTTTAACCCACTAGCTTATGATTCAACCAGTAAAATACCTTATTTTAATAATAATAACAATAATAGTAACAAATCACGTAAAAATATCAGATTTTGTTGAAACATTTACTCCTAAGTTGCTTCAGGGTACCCTCTTGTATTTAGGGGTCATGAAGCTTAATCTTCATCAGTTTCTCTTATATATTGTACCTATGAACACTAATGGGTATAGCCTAATCCTTATAAATACACTATTGTAATTTGTGGTGGTTGGGGTAAGATGCTGTATAAGTAGTCCAACACTAGCAGTGGTTTACCTACTTCACGCCGCTGGCGAGTATTGTATTTTGTTGATGTTATAAAGATTACCATTTCATTTCCAATCTCCGTTTTGGTTATTCCTCATTCAGTAACCTTTTCTAGATTACAACAGTTTCATAGTAGATCCGACACGGGAAATGATACATCACATTAGAATTAGTTAATACATTCATTACGGCCTGCCAATACGTCCTAAATAATGAATTATTCCGTTTTGAGCGCGTGGAAAGACGGAAAAGACATATCAGAGACGTTGCATGGTTTTAAAAACGAAAGAAAGAAGTTTCATAAATGAAATGTAAAAAGGCGATAAAACTCTCATGTTTGTAACGTGTCCTTCAGTGAAGCGGAAAAAATCTTGTCAATTTCAACTCTTTTCATTAGTACCCTTCAACTTCTGTAAAGGATGACCTGGATTAGAGCCGTACTACGTTGAAACACCGGTTCCCGTACGATCGCCGAATTTAAAGAACGCCAAGCCTCGTCCGTGCCTAGAAGGGCGAGCGCTTGGGAATAACGAGTGCTGTAATGGGGTAATGGATAACGGCTCGGAATTGGAAAGCCGAGTTCCAATCGGGTTCATTATATTCACTGACGCGCAAATACTCTTGGGGAAAGTATGGATATACTTTATTTCCCCACTTAGCTATGGATTAATTATGATCATTATTATTTCCAAGAAAACCATTCTTACAATCTAAAAAAAAAAAATCTGAATTTAAATGAATTGCAAAGGTTTAATATGTCGTAAAAACAAATAAAACATATAATAACCCGAATTCATTATTTTTGGAATATTCGGATGAAGTTGTTAAGCTAATGTTAAGCTTATTTTTCCATTAAATATTAGGATACTTCAATATATCCAAATAGGAAAACAATGGAATTTTCTCTTCTAATAACTCATTATTATTACTATAAATCGAATACCTAACAAGATGATCACCTTATTACTATCAAAAATTATTTCTTTTATATTCGTTTAAAAATCTTTTAATAATCTTTAACAATCTTTTAACAAACTTTAATGATCTTTTATTAATCTTTTAATAACCTTTAATAATCTTTAATAATCTTTTAATAATCTTTTCATAATATTTAATAATATTTAATTATCATTTAATAATATTTAATAATATTTGAATAATCATTTAAGAATCTTTAATAATCTTTTAATAATCTTTTAACAATCTTTAATGATCTTTTATTAATCTTTTCATGATCTTTAATAATTTTTAATAATCTGTTAATAATCTGTTACTAATATTTAAAAATCTTTTATAGATTCTTTTCTGTCTGTCATTACATAAGTGTAGAAAAACCTGCACCGTTTTCTAGTATGTTCATCGCCTTCCTTAAATGTGGTACAAGGCCGATTTTACGTGGAGACACCCATGTACATACGCATTCATATGGACCATGGTGAAAAATTGCTCAATCGACCGCTGTCGTCGATATTACGCCGAGCTTACCTTTCTTAGCGCAATGAGGAAGGCCATTCGGCAGGTTTGGAATCAACGATGCCGGACGCCTTCTCCCATCTAAAATGAGGAAAACATTTTCCTTTAGTTCCGGCCGAAAGCGTAATCCTGCGCCAGTGTAATTTGCATAACACTTTTTCAAATGCACTTTTAATAAATATTTCATCTGTGGGATTTATTTTCAGTTCAAATTTTAAATATCGTACTATACAAGTAATATTTTTTACCGAGAAAGTAAATATTTATTTTTTTAAATATTACAACTTTTATAGAGTTCTATAAATTTTACACCAGACGAGATTAATTACAATCTCAATTATAATTGCAGTTCTCGAAGTATCCATCGTTTTCGTTTGAAATTTTTCATTACTATATATAAGTCGAGAAAGGCAGAAAAATAGGTTTATTAATTCATCTAAATAAGTCAAAATAATCTATATTATTAGATTTTCTAAAAAGAATTATTTAAAGTATTGATATATAGCAAGTTTTCGGAAGTGCTATGATTATTATTATTATTATTATTTTAATAAATAATTCAGCTGGTTTTCTCATTGACAGTTCTATGTAGCTATGTGCAGAGTAGGAAATTTAAGTTAACTTCAGATAATGGCAAAAAACACTTTAGAAAATAAATGCCTTACTGAAAGTATTGTTTATAAAGAGATTTTAAAGGAGTGGACTTCTATTACCAAGTGTTTCTCAGTCCGTAGGAGGTGTATTCGACACATAATAATCTGCCCAAGACCATACTCTGAATATTCATTCTGCTCGGAAGAACGTTTATCGCCAAGTGGATTCGGACAAATGCCGACTGTGGCAAGGACAAAAACATGACCCTCACATCATTTTTCGCTTGTGGAACGCTTGTGGAAATAATACAGGCGCCGGCATGATAATGTAGTCCTTCATCTGCATCGGTGCTTCTGTGCGTGAAGTACGGACTTGAAGTCAACAGGAAATCTATCCGCCACAAGCCATAGAAGTTAACCGAAAACGACCACGTCAAGATCTTGTAGGATTTCACAGCAAACAGAGCGCATTTTTAAGGCCACCAAACTAGACGTCCCCACCGATGACAAAGAAACAAGAAGCTACCCCCCCCCACATTCTTCCTGATAACCGTAATATCAAGCTCAAAGAAATCGAAAATCTAATGAAATACATTTCCGTATTGAATTTACCAGAATGTAAGACATTCCCTATTGCCCCAGTCTTCGTTGGGACGTTGTGTTCTGTAAATTTAGTAGTATAGAAAATCGGAATAACGTCTAGTATCCCATCATTTCATAAGTCTGCGTTGCCTGACACCTCAAATATTCTACGAACGAAGATGGGTAATTTTAGGGTTTTTTTTTCACGATAAAAGTCATTCTGTCACTACGATAGGTGCTGTCTGTCTTGTGCAACTTGCTAATGTTAAAAGATATCCCGTCGTAAAAACGTGAATAATAATAATAATAATAAGTATCTTTGAAGATATTCAAAAAGCTGTCAAAATACAAGGACCTTGAAATAGAAATCTCGAAAATGCGGTATATGGGAACATCAACAATCCCTGTTGTAGTTGGAGCCCTAGGACTGGTTGGAAAAGGTTGTAGTAGACTAATTGAAGAGATTCCTGGAAGTCCATGCCTCAAGGAGATACAAAAAATTGTTCTGACAAGTACAGCCCACACTTTCCGAAAGGCTTTATCTATGTAATTTTTTATTTTATTTTATTTTTGTGAGTGGAAAGTGTTATGGTGCCATTTCTAACCTTAGGTCTCTAAGCGGGACCCGGAAAGAAATGTGTAAACGCCAGAAACAAAATGAAATAAAAATAATAATAATAATAATTGATTAGAGGTGTTAATATGCACATATTCTTGGTGAATCAAGATTCATCTCCTTCTGTATGCTGTGTCCCTTCAAGACGTAGGCGATTATGTCTCTCCACAATTTCTTGTCTTTGTAGTTCTTTATAAATTTTGTCTTTCTGTTATCTCTCGTAAGCCTTGATCCGACGTCCGCTTACTTAAGCTCTCTAGGTAAATTATTTGTTGATTCCCACTGTCTCTCTTGCCTTCCATGAGACCTGTGAGTATCAAATATTTCAAGCCCTCTTTCCTCTTTATGTAGCCTAGAAATTTGAACTTCCGGAGGTTAATTATAAATGTTATTTCTGTTTCTATTTTCTCTACAACTTTATCGTTGGTCACATGTTAGATTCATGGTATTCTCAGCAACGTTCTGTAGACCGCATTTCTGTTGCTTCAAGTCTCTTCTTCATTTTGAGGCGATTGTGCAACATTCATTCCATATAGGATAATATTACGTAACAGTTCACGTTACTTATGTTTTTTACTAACGAAATTTTCCTGTTTCTTAATACTTTGCTTAGCTTGTGGAGGGCATTTTTTTTCGCTATCCTAGTGCGCTTCGGATTTTAGTGTTTCACTTTCCGTGCTCTAATAAAACACTTCCCAGATATTTAGATTATTGTACTTGCTTGATTTTGGTATCTTCTAATTCTTGCAACTGTTGTTTAATTCTTTCTTCTCGCTTTCCTTCACTAACTTTTGTAGGAGTTCTTGTAGTTCCCTTTCCGTGTCTGCTATCATAGCTGTATCTTTTTCATAACTTATGTTGTTAAGATTGTTGCCGCCAATAATGAATTAAGATGGGCTACTATAAATATCCTTTTAACGCTCGGCTAACCCGCTCCAATCAGACGATCATCGATTCGTAGTGTTGTCATATATCTATATGTTAGACTCAAGGCGCCTTGGCTGACTCATCCGTCAAATTAAAATAAACCAAGAAAAACAAAACAAAAAGTATCTTTTTCTTCTTACCTTCCATCTTTATTTTCATAATTTCTCTACACGTTATCTTCTGAATTTCTTTCTTTATGTCGTTCAATCTCTCCAACTTGAGTTCCTTTCTTTTTTCCTTGTCATCTCATTTCACACTGCCATTGTTTTTTTCCCCATCTTCACCGACATTTTTCTTTTCACCTTGCGTTCTACCTCCATCTTTCTTTCTCCGTCCCTTCTCTCTCACTCATTCTCTCTCTCTCTTTTTTTTCTCTCTCTCTTTCTGGAGTTTTCTTCCTACTTCCTATCCGACACACTACAATAATTATCCAATTGTTATAGTTGCATATTGCTGGCACAAATAATTTAGCAAACGCACAAGATCGCGTAATTAGTTAAAATCAATAATTCGCCTGAGGGTATTCAGAGAGAAATCAACAATCTCAAAGAATGATTAATCGTAGAAAGATTGATAATTCTATGAATGGTTCGGGGATGCGAACACGTGACTTAAATCTTCAATATCCACGCGCCGTACTGCTAGATATTAATAATCTTTACATTTAGAATATGTAATTAGAGCTAAAACTTAATCTTAAATATAATCGGTAATGCTGAAGCTACGAAAAAGAAAATTGGTTATGTATTGTTTTTATCTGACATTGTTTTTCTATTTCCGTATCTTTCGCGGACTTTCCACTAGTTTGATAATTCTCTCCAGCGCCGTGGGGCGATATTGATACGAGTTAAACAGACAGAGTTTCGAATTTCCCGCCCAAATTTCCGGTATGAAGAGTTATCATCATTTACACTTTATTACATTTACCGGTGGAGAATTGGATAGCGACTCTGATTAAGGAAACGGAGAGCCGAGTTCGAATTCCATTCGAATCCATTACATTCACTGACGTGCTTAGGAATGCAGATCTTCTTCTTCTCCCTCCCAGATATGGGTAAATAGCAGGACAGACCCGATTTTGAAGGCGTGGATGGCAACTGGTCTACCGCAGGAAGAAATGGCAACCTACTACGGGAAAAAATCGACTTCGTCTGTCATGTATCGAAAGATACATGACCGCCTAAGAGAGTATCATGCATGGCACGTAATTGACAGACAGACAGACCTTAATTAAATCTACGGGGGAGGACTATTCACGCCCCTGTCCATGTCTAGGGATATCTGGTCTAGTTCTTATTTTTAGAAAGTAAGAATGTTTTTAGTAATGTATTTTTTTTTTATTGTAAGACTTTTTTCGTCTATCTTTTACCAAGATGTCTGGATGTAGATATCCATTTATCAACATAGAATTAATGGATCTTGTATTCCTTAATCGAGGATGTTACATCACTTTAAACCGTATTTTAGCGTATAACAATATTTGAGTAGACATTCCGTTTGTTTATTAAATAGTATTTTTATTTACCTTCGCCTACTGGCGTGAATATTAGATGAATCATATTATGCAAAACATTAAGAAAAATATGCATTCTACAGGAGGATCCGAACCTACACACACTTTGCAAGAGAAACCGACGTTAAATCCGACGTGCTCCAGACCGACTCAGCCACGGAGTGCGACGCTGATGAAGCAATGTAACTAAATAAATATATATAATGCAGATATATATATATATATATATATATGTTAAGAAATGGACAAGGTCCGACAATTTATTTATTAAAGACATTTTTATTTATGTTTAACGTTGTTATTTTTTATAGATACAAGTATTTAAGCAAATGCTCTGTTTAAGATAAACAGTATTAAATAACATTTACCGGCCTGAATGTAAAAATAAAACGTTTTCATAAAAAAAATTCGTTCATAAATAAATTGAATCTGCATCCTATCCGGAACTTAACATATGACGTCATTTGTTAACATTCGATACGCCAGAACCTTATGAATAAAACGAGATTCATGGAAGATTATAGTTTATAATCTTAAATGACATTGTCTATTCATAAGGCTCTGGCGTATCGAATGGTAAACAAATGACGTCATATGTTAGTTCCGTATAGGATGCAGGACGAATTTGTTTATGAACGAATATTTTTTATGAAAATTTTCGGACATTCAGGCCGGTAAATGTTATTTAATACTGTTTATCTTAAACAGAGCATTTGCTTAAATACTTGTATCTATAAAAAATAACAACGTTAAACATAAATAAAAATGTCTTTAATAAATATATATATATATATGAAGAAAAATTTGGAAAAAACATATATATATTAAGGACATTTTTATGTTTAACGTTCTTTTTATAGATACAAGTATTTAAGTAAATGCTCTGTTTATAATAAACAGTATTAAATAACATTTACCGGTCTGAAGGTCCGAGAAATTTTCATAGAAAATATTCGTCCTTTGACAGGATTCGAACCTGCATCCTATACGGAACCGTCATTTACGCTGACGTGCCTTAACCGACTCGGCCACAAAGGAGCGTTCAAAGGAAGAATATTTTCTATGAAAATTTCTCGGACATTCAGGTCGGTAAATGTTATTTAATACTGTTTATTATAAACAGAGCATTTATTTAAATACTTGTATCTATAAAAAGAACGTTAAACATAAAAATGTCTTTAATAAATAAATTGTCGGACTTTGTCCATTTCTTAATATATATATATATATATATATATATATATATATATATTGTTGTAGCATACCTACTGAAGATAAAGGGTATGTTCCCAGTTAGAGATTCGTCTCCAGTAGTGCTGGTCAAACTCTCTACCTCCGGACAGAGAGGATCTCCAGACGAGGGTAGAGTCTCGTCCTGGGAAACAGCTACCCGACATGGTGTACGAGGAATTTTTGGCAGTGCCTACCAGTTCGGATACCCCACATTAAATTCATCATCTGACAGCGTGGGGCGGTTGGTAGTCATCCTGCTGTGTTGGTCAAACTCAATGCCACCGTGAAGCGAGGATCCCCAGGCGAGGCTATGTCGAAGAGCAGATTCTCCTCTTGGTAAACAGCTACCCGACAACATTTTACATGAGTCTACGGGGGCATTTTGGCAGAGCATACGGGCTCGCATACCCCGCATTAAATTCGGCCTGCTCGCGTTGGGCTGTTGGTAAACATTCTGCATTTGGAGATTCATCCCCAGTTGTGCTGGTCACACTCTCTACCTCCGGACAGAGATGATCTCCAGACAAGGCTATGTCGAATGGCAGTTTCTCGTTTTCGGAAACTGCTACCCATGCCCGTTTTAGACGGTGTCTACGGGGAATTTTTGGCCGAGTCTACGGGCTCGCATACCCCACATTAAATTCAACCTTGTGCCACATCTGACCGCGTGGGGAGGTTGGAGGATATTCTGCAATTGGAGATTCTCCAGTGGTGCTAGTCAAAGTTTCTGCCACTAGACAGAGAGTGTCCCCAGAAAAGGCTATGTCGAAGGTCAGTGTCTCGTCTTGGAAAACTACTACCCACGCCCGTTTTAGACGGTGTCTACGGGGAATTTTTAACCGAGCCTACGGGCTCGGATACTCCACATTAAATCCTGCCATGTGCCACATCTGACCGCGTGTGGTGGTTGGTAGATAACTTGCTGTTGGAAAATTAGTGTGGAATTTACTTTACTCGCTTCTAGCAGATGACTACTTTTTCTACGCGCCGTTGGCGAATCTTATATGTGTTGTTCGTGTCCAAAGTGTTATCGTTCATTACCAACCTTCGTGTGATTATTCTATTCAGTAACCTTCCAAAGTTTTCAACCTATATATATATATATATATATATATATATATATATATATATATTTGTGTGTGTGTGTGTAAAGAAATATAATTTTAAGGTGTGCTATATTTATAGGATAAAATGGTCAATACCAGATATAGAGCGTATGTAAATATAAAAGTGAACATTGAAGTCAACACCCAGAGATTGCGTCTAACATAAAACAGCCTGTCACCTCTGAGTGTTGACTTCATTGTTCACGGCCATATGTGGCAGCAATATTCTAAGCATGGACTAATGGTTAGAATGTGGCCGCCCCATATGATTTGTAGCTTTCTATCTAGAGATCCTTGATACCATCCAAATAAATATCAGCAATATTATTAGTCCTGATATGGCGGCTCGGCTTCAGTCACTTTTCCGCCACGGTAAAGTTGACTCCTGGTGCGTTTTCTATAGATACGTTTATGGTAATTGTTCGGATGAGCTCCTTGCTATGTTACCTAGATTCATGGGGTACTTTCGTATCGACCGTCGCATTTGATAATGTCAAGCGTAATATAAATTTACGAATTTCTGTCACACATTTATGATTTCTCCTTGCTAGTAAATGGAGTATTCCGTTATTATGATCACAGGAGGAATTACTTTCGTATCGACGATCGTATTTTTTGTGATCCATAAATTAAATGGATTCTTTTATATCCGGTTTTAATGTATTTTTTTTATTCGCTAATGTTCTTAGAGCAAATCCATTCCGCTGTCGAAGAGAAAAGCCGGAGAGAAGAAAAAAGAGCAGAAATATAATTCCATGTAAGTGTATCCAAAAATATAAAGCAGAGGAAAAATAAATCATTTTAAATTGAAAAAAAAACATCAATAAATCCCAAGTAAAAGTAGCAACTCGAGCATGCTGTTTTTATTTTTAGTAGTCGGAACACGCTACTATACGGATACCGCACAGTATATCTAAGTTAACGAAAGCCTTATGCCAGTAGATAGACTGCACAAAGGTTTTCGACAAAGTACACCACAAAGATCTGTTGGAACTGCTCAGAAACCTTGATATATCTGGGAAAGATATTAGATACATCAAGAACCTATACTGGCATGAAACGGCCTGTATACGGATAGAAAATGTGTTCAGCAGATATACAAAAATAGAAAGGGGTGTAAGGCAAGAATGTTAGAATATGGCCACACACCGCACATTAAATTTGGCCTTGTGCCACATCTGACCGGGTGGGGAGGTTGGACGATATTCTGCAGTTGGAGATTCTCCAGTTGTGCTGGTCAAAGTTTCTGCCACCGGTCAGAGATGGTCCCCAGACGAGGCAATGTCGAAGGGCAGAGTCTCGTCTCGGGAAACGGCTACCCGGCTCCGTTTTAGACGGTGTCTACGGGGAATTTTTGGCCGAGTCTACGGGCTCGGACACCCGACATTAAATTCGGCCATGTGCCACATCTGACGGCATGTGGCGGTTACTTTTGGACAGTTAGTGTGGAATTCACTTGACTCACTTCTAGCCGATGACGACTTCTTCTACGCGCCGCTGGCGAATCATATATGTGTCGTTCGTGTCCTAAAGTATT